ATTCAAGTTTTGTGCAAAAACGCATGATCGCTCCGGCTCGCCTGGTGCGTTCCAGCCTGGGTTGAAATTGTGCCGCACATATAAATATGTATAAATAAATATACACGCAAACAAACACACATACAAACAACAAATATGCACATACTTGTATGTACATGCAAGCAAGCAAACACACGCACATACAAACAAACAAACACACATAAATATATGCATTTATGCACATATACACAAATACATATGTATATGTACGTATATATATTTTTGTATATTTGTATATGTAATATATATATGTACATATGTAAATGTATATATGTATATATGTACATATATATATTTGTGTATATTTGTACATGTAATATATATGTATATATGTAAATTTGTACATATATGTACATGTATACATATATATATACACATATATATAGTGCAAACAAGCAGTCAGAAATGCATGCATATGATCACATCACTATTCGCTCAAAAACGACTGAAAACAGAACATAGTTTCATAGCTGTGATTTATTGCTTTAGTATCGATGTGCAACGTCGCTACTAGCTGAATTTTGTCGACAGTCTCATGCAGAACGTATCGAGAGCTGCGATGGCTATCTACCAGATACCAGAGAATATTTCTTCGAGCGTTCTGGTAAACTATTCGAGCCAATTTACGATTTCCTGACCACTGGACATTTTCATCGACCGGGCGACATCTGCCGTGAAAGGCTTTTCAAAGAGCTTGATTTCTGGAAAATTAAAAAGTCATTCATTTCATTGTTCTGTGTAATATTTAGGCTTTGTTTTCTCCCGCTGCTTTTTTTCATGCAAATTTTTACTTTAACGAAATATTAAAATCTAAAGACGATGAATTCAAATTTTTAAAATAAAGTATCGTCAAAATCTGCAATAGCTTTGGCTTTGGTAGAACTATGCCTATTTGAAACAAACAGTGGTTTGTATAACCAGTTGGGTTTGAAGCTACGCAGTAAAAAGTGCGGGGTGGATAGCTTTCAACGGGTTATGAGACGTTTTTTCCAACTGTAGCAGCGTCGACTCTAAATTTCCGTAGAAAACATCCACTGTAAATTTCTGTGCTCTAAGGATGCACGTGGAAGCAGCCATGAAAAAAGCGGTGCGCAGAAATCTCGGGCAAAACCTTATTTTCTAAGTTCATCAAAAAACAGCTGAATTCAGCTAGTTTTTAAAGAACGGGGAAAAAGAGTTTTCAATGAGTTTAAGTGCGAATTATTACTTTTAGTAAAATGCACAACCATTTCCGAGTGCTTCTGAAAGAGGGTATAAAACAGCGGGATTTTATTTTGGTTTAATTTTAACTGATCATAAG